CTAAACCATTAAATAATAATATTTAATATAAGTTTCGTGTTTGAATTAAAGCATTGTAGCATGTTTTAATTTGTACTGAAGTACATGCAAATGTCGAATTTTAATATACCTATAAAATAATATTTTATTTTATATTATTATTTAATCCTTAACTAATCAATAAATTAATTTAGCTAAATTATGTAAATAATTAAATCATAATAAATCTAAAAGCACCAAGCTACCAAAATTATAATTTAATTGATATTACTTATGTTTAAGTCCATCAATTACTGCAATATATAAATTATATATATTTATATCAAATTAATAAATTAAAATTTTATTTTAAAGTGAATTTAATCAAATAATTTTGCAAATATCATAAAATATAATACAAAATTAAAATACATTTTGTAAATTATTTAATATAGCTAAAATGGTATCAACAATATGATGATACTATTTTTATAATAACATCCAGATTTTATTTTTTTGGAATAATATTACAAAACAGCTACTGAAAACGTAGTTTTTAAACATTTTTATCATCATTAAAAAATTTATAAATATCATTGAAATAATATATTATAAATAAAAAACAATTATCTTTTCAATATAGTGCACTCATAATACATTACTAATATATTACCAATAAATCCAATATATTATATTTAATATACATTATTTTAGTCAAATGTTTGATAGTAGTTTATAATATTCATTAGTTTTAATTACTTCGTCGAGACTATCACTAATGCGTATTGTTTCAAATCAACCTTAGCTATCTTATTAAAACGTTATGTACATTACCTGAGAATAATAGCAACAGTTGTCGATGATTTGATGTGATATAAGCACATCAGCTTGAGTGAGGCCATACTAAACCATTCGTTCTGCAGGTTCCCTTTTTACTTCCGACTTGAAACTTACCTGACAAAGTTTGTCTGTCCTTTCTAATTTTAGAAACCATTAAGCTTTGATAATATATCCGTTCATTGTCAAGCGCATGGAGGCCTTGGCCGGTAATTAATGTGGCCGAGTTAATACTGAATCAGCTGGATCATCAGTTTTAACTAGCTAATTGCAGACCTGACTATAGAAAGTGGTAAGTTTAATGGGATATATCGGTGTTAGTCAACCCCTTTATCTACTCTCTCCGTCAAAAGTTTAAACGTGCCCACTTCCAGTCCTTGGCTTTTGTGCCAACTAATCTGGCGTTGTAAACTATTATTAATTCAATCAGACCCTGTGCATCAGCTGACCGTTTAGAAATTGAGTCTTAACTCGAGACTAAAATGTGCGTTCCCATAGTAGAGTAGCAACTAAAATGGTATTAAGTCACTATCAATTGCAATGCAATCACAGGGTCTTTAGTATAATAACGCCTGACCCCTGTAAACCATAAACGAGTAATAATTTAGCAATATCACCTTTAATTGTTTCACTACCGATGACTTATTGTTTTATTTTAAAAGATTGCAGTCCATTTAAAAGTAACGTAAGAGCCTGCTGTGGTTAAGGCAATAAAACGTAAAAGGATTTCTCTGACAAAGAATAATAACGCGAAATGCACCGAAATGTTCGTTTGCAACCGCAAGACAACGGGATAACGTTCCCACGAGGGTCCTTATGAAACTTTTATTTTTCCCAAGTCGATATAATCTTTTTGATTTAGTTTTATCGGCGAGACTGTATCGTCTATGCCGGAGATGCAGTATGGGGTAAAAAAAAAAAAAATACAAAAAAAAGAGTTGGTCGATTTTTCTTACACAGCTGTTTTACGAAACTCGGAGCACACGTCGTTGCTTCGGGGTTGGGAAGTACACACTGAGAAGGTTTTTTTTCTATCTTTCCCATCTAACATTCCTCCAAGTGCACAATATTGTATATTGTAGTGTCCCACGGGTTTCCACATACTCGCGTTTGAGCAATAAACATTTCGTATGTGCTTTGAATTTCAATATAGTCCCTTTTTTCTACGACACGCATTATTCCGTCGTAATTACAAAGGGTAACTTAAGTGCACTTGAGCGTTTTTAATAGACTTACAGAGTTTATTGGTCACAATGTTTCTTACCATTGAAATGCATAAGAACGACCGTCACGATATCATTAAATCTATTATGTCTATTATACCTGCCACTAACCCCATGTCGATTTCGCCGAGTAATTTCAATTTGATTTTCCACTATTAAAGTCGAAATTGATGCAGTCCTTGGCGATCGTACATGATGTAAATTATACTATACAAAAATTAAAAATCAACAAAGGTACTACACTATTGGTATTTAAAGTAAATGCCATCATACGTATTACGTCCGTTTCCGTAACAACGAAATGTTTACAAAACGTGTATGAACAACAGTCGATTGATTATAGGTACACCACACATTCCATTCGATATTCCGTTTTTATATCTATCGTAACAACAGAAAATTCGTTCCATACGATTGTTAGGAAACAAATAACAAGCAATGTGATTGGAAGTGGTAGAACGATAACACAGAGGGCTAACAACACCATTCCGTCGTCTAGAGCTCTCTCAATTAATGGTTGAGCGGGGTAATAATGACGCGAGGCGTCCGAAGTTTTGAGTAGACTTTTAAGGTGGCGCAAACGTGTCGTTATCTCATCCAGAACAGACCAAAATCTCATGAAAAATAGTTTGACGGGTGAAGCTCTAGGTTGGGGGCCGCAATTCAAAACTTTATCGACAGCCTAAATAAAAATTTCACCAAATTATGACACTCTACTCGTATTTTTCGTGTTTATTATTATTATTGTTTTATTTTTGTTTGACGTTAAATTATTATTTCTTTGTTTCGGTGATTTCTTTTCTTACCTCGATACTGAACAACACAATGGTGTACGTTATTTTTCTAAAAATGTTTCATCTATATGTAAATAAAAGTACATGATACCCAATTCGTGTTACACCGGTTTGGCTATTTCAATCTTTTTAGGGGTTCTAAAAACATATATTTATTTTCTGTTGATAATTTTTCATTTACCATTGATTGCTAGAAAATTCATCCAATGTTACATTAATTTGATTTATTCATAAAAATGCATGCATACGTATTATTATGTACAATATCAATGACTCAATATAAATTATTATTATATGATTAAATCTCCATGTTCATGAGCTTGTTTTTATTAACCAATCATTAATATGACTGCAATTGATTTTGTTTTTCGTCAAAACAAAAACAAACTATAATGCTTTTCACTACTTTTGCTTGCAATATATCTTGTTTCAATATCAAAATATACCAAATGCATCAAATATGTTTTCATCCCGTTCACTGTCTATATGATACAACTTTTGTATTCAATCTTAATGGATTTTGGTTAATTCAAAATTATTTTAAATTATTAATGGTTTGTATACGCAATAGCATAACATAATAAAGTAAGAAACTTTAAGAACCTGATATATTTTGTTGTTTATATAGAAATATAATTTAAGCCAACAGATACTTCACGTTTTTAGATTAATTTTAATTTGTAATTCATGAGTTTGTGATGGTGCATAAGTTTTTGAAATTACTTATAGTATATAGGTATTTAGATTACAGTTACAAGTATTTCAATATTTTGGACATCACAAGGAAGTTATTTCTAAACTTTTTAGTATACGTGAAGCAGTAGTTTTGAGTCGAAAACTTACCGACTTGAAGTGTAAACTAAATTACTATAAAGCGTGAAGAATGTCACGTGCATTACTTAATGAATTTAAAAATATATTTCAACTAATTTTGAACAATCTTCTCGTTTGTATATTAAAAATTAATGATTTAATTTATGCGAATTATGATAATATTCTTTTTCTTATTATTTTTTTTTTTCAAGTAAAGTCCCTTTCTTTCCGTATTTCCACCGCCATATTATTATTAACCCACACATTTAAGTTAATTTCTATGTTAATTATAATATTGTTAAGTTTATTTTGTTGGATTAATTTATATAAGAATTATGAAGATTTAAATACGTGAATTTATTGGGTCCTATAATAATATATTATTTTATCTTAATTTTAAATTCAAATAATTAAAATCAATTTTTTTTAATTTCTTTCATAAGCTTTACAGTATACTATAGCTTTGATTTACTAGCAACCAATATTAATAAAAATTTCTATTCGAAAATAAAAATTTAAATTGATTAATTAATATATAAATGAGTTATTCGTAACCACAACACAGTTAAAAATATTGTTATGAAACTAATATAAATTTAAAGTATAATACTAACGTGAAGTTTGCATACACGTGTATAAATATAATTTCAATGTGGTCATTGGTTAAGTATTCTTAACTATTTAATCAATTCTATATCAGAAATGTAATAATTTTAAACTAATATATATTTTTTATTTTTTTTTTTTTACAAAAGTGTAATATAAATAATGTAATTCAGAGCATTTCAGTAGTTAAAATACTTTTAAATCGATATTATCTAATTGGAATTCGGCAATAGTAATAATAATAATAGTTAAAAAAAAAAAAAAATTGCATGATAAAATTAAAAAATCTATTGATGAGTGAAATTCTTACAATAAATTTGACTTTACGAAAACAAATAGTAATTGAAGACCCTTTAAAAAACAATGATTACCGAATTAATAATATCAGACAGCTAATTTGTTGACTGTGTACATATCGGATGCGATACCTTTACGCTGACTCATGTAGGAATTTTGTGAATTGTGCATAGTAAATGTTTTTGTTAATCCAATAATCTGTTTAGCTATAAGACAAAAACGCAAAATACTCGTAAAAACTTTTATCTCACAACACAACAATAGAGCAATGACTGGACACCAACATTTTGTAATTGTTACGAATATTTACGTCATTTGAGTTCTGAATCAGAACGCAGTCGTCACATTGTTATAGTGTTTGAGTTGTCGTTTAAGCTTTTGTAATAAAATGCTGTTGTCGTAAAGATACTATGTTTTGTAAAAGAATAATTTTATTTTTCTTATTAAAATCGATATTTGTGTATTTTTACAGGTAACACAGGTGGTCTTATGTTAACCAAATTAGTCATACCTCAATGGGCGGACTTGAGAAGTTCAGTGACGCTGTATTGCCAATATAACACGGGCGGCGACAGTTTGTATTCCGTAAAATGGTACAAGGACGATCACGAATTCTTCCGGTATACGCCCGGGTTGAATCCACAGACGCTCGTGTTCCACATGGAAGGCGTAAACGTGGACGTGAGTATAAAGTTTGACGTGGTCGCGTCGTTTTCAGTCGATATCTGTTATTATTATTTTATTTTTCCATTTCTTTTCGTGTGGTGAATTATTTTATCGCACGTCATGTCGTCCTTCACGTAGGACGGTGGTTTAAAAATTACGGCTGAAACTTTCTTAGGCCACGGGGTCGGAAGAGTTTTTGCGCCGCGGAGAGTTTGTCACTGCCACCGTAAGGAACGCGGTTGCTTATGTTAGATGCGCAAAATAGATGGGCATGGCACCGGTGGTGGAGACGGTTAAACGACGAGATGAAACAAGGAACGTTGTGTAATCCTCTCGCGAATATTATGTACATATACATTTTCGTGAAAATTTGTGGTAAAAGTTTTTGACTCATTGACCTATATAGAAACCGCGAAAACATTATCACATAGTCCGTTGCATTTGTATCTCGCACTTTATATCGGCTCGGCAGTCGTTTTTACACAGTGCGCCCAAATAAAAATCTAACGAAATAAACGGTATTCATCTGCGTTATGTATTCTCCCTATGCATAAATCATAAATAGAGATACCACTGTACAATATAGTCGTCTATTTCGTATTCATATGAACGCGAACCTTCAGACTCCATAGATAGCAAAGTAATTTACCGTGCCTACTGCCTATCGTTGTCGTCGTTGTTGCCACAATTATTTAACAACTTCATTACACGATACATAATATTTTATGGGTATTTTTAGGTTGATGTCTAATATTATATTTTTTTTTTATTTTTCAATGTAAATATTTGAGCGAGTATTTAATACGTTGATCTTGTTGCTATTTAAAAATATCAAAAATACACGAATACACGAATAAATACAAATTTAAATTAACCAGTTTGTAAAATTGAACTTTTGACAGATTAATAAAATACGCTAAAAACTAATATAAACACATTAATTTGGAAAAGTTTTCGCTATTTGAATTCCATAAAACAATAAACGACATGTTTTATTATAAACGTAGTTACATAAACTGTTAATGTATGATTACAATATTTCAAGAACAAGCATAATATTATTTTAAATTAATCAAGCGTATTTCTTGTATTTAATTTTATTCAAAATGATCATGTTTTTTTTCTATATCTATGCTCACATTTTGTAGCTAAGTAGTTTGATACCACATTTTATTAAACCATGCATTTAATGTATATTTTATTAAAATTTTCGGGTAAATATTTTAATTTTATTTATTTTTGTTATTATTCACCCAGGAGAGTAAATCTTCCGCCTCTCAAGTAACGCTGTTCCCATTGACCAGAACGAGCAACGGCAATTACAAGTGTGAAGTATCTACAGATGCTCCAAATTTCCCAACAGTCGTCGAAGATGCCAATATGACAGTTATCGGTAATAAATAATATTAACTATTCACGCACCGTATTAATTAATATCAATTTTATAAAAATAAACAACACTTCAATAAAATATATCGAATCTCACAAAAATGATATAATATTTAAGAATATAGTTCTATAAATTAAAATATTAAATACTTAATAGTAGGTATAAAACTTTTTTTTTTACTTACATAATTGATATTCAAAGATAATACGAACTAAATATTGAATGCTGAAATTCATATTTCCCTCGAGTAAACTTCAAAAGTCGTTCGTGATATGAATTCATTGCATTTAATGCATACAAATTTTGAATAAAAATCTTAAAATTTACGTCACAACTATCCCAAAATAAATCAATGTGTATTGTACGTACGTATATATCTTCCTATATTATAATAAATTATGAGTAGCATAAAATATTAAGAAATTAAATGAAAAATAACTAATTATAAATTTTTTAACCAAATAATGTTTTTTAGAAAAATTGTATTTTTATTTTATAATTTTTACGAGTATTCTACTTAAATACGCTCGGAATATTTTTTGGTGTATACATATTTCAACGATTATCTTCTATATTTTGGCTGAAAATAATGTACTAAGTTATTTATGTGATTTTACTGATATCTATAGAAAGTTATCGTCACCAGAACTTTAGGAAATCATTCTATAAAATCCGGTTCTTCTATTCAATGTCATATTTTATTTACACCAAATTTTCTCTATCAACTGTACCATTATTTTAGTTCTATATCATTGGCCATATATCGAAGTGTATCACGTATTAGCTATCAAAAATTATTTGTTTCTAATAATTATTATCTCTGTTTACGTCCATCAGATTTTTTCATACTCAATAGTTTCATTGATTGACTACAATAACTTTGTGATTTTAAGTTTACTTCGCTTTGGTATCATTTATTTTTATCTCTCTTGGTTCTGGCACTGATGAATTATTCGACAATGTTTAAACGCACTCGTTATACTAAATAATTTAAACAATAAGGATAATAGTTTACAGTGTAAACATCAAGCATCAAACTTCAAGCCTAGAATTATTTTTCTTACTAATTCATTAAACAGATATAATATATGCAATAATGACGTAAACATATTTTATACCTACAATATATCATAATACATTTAATATTTTATCATTATTTAAATCCAAATAAACAATGTATGTAAACATTCACGTGCAACACATTAGTTCGATTTTACAGTGAATATACATGTCAAAACTCGAAAATACTATTTTCATAGAATAAACAAAACCATAATATTATCAATAGTGAGTTATTGTACATTGACTTGAAATGTATTATTGAAACAAAAATCAAATTATTAATTAATCATAATATAGTTTATCATAGAATAATTTATTTCAATCGTATACACACATAGATATATATATATATTTTTTTTTCGTTTAAAAAAATATCACTAATCGAACAAATTGTGAAAATTTGAATTATTTTGTCATTTGTTTTGTATAGCATATCCCGAGGATGGTCCGAGAATAGAAGGACTCCGACAAATTTACTCCGTAGGCGAATTCTTAGAAGCCAACTGTACAGCCAAAATGACATTTCCCGTAGCACATGTCACTTGGTTCATCAACAACATAGAGGTCAGTGCGAATAAAAAAATAATAAAAAATACTTAATGTAAAAAACCATCGGGCACCGGCGGATCGATTAATGTCTTAGATAATTTATTTTTTCCGCGGAGTGTAAATAATAAAAAAAAAAAAAGGTATAAAATCGTAGTATATGTACACGCTTTGGTGATTACTTTTCTCCGGTTGTGCGTCCGAAAGTTTTCGCGTTATAAGCTCAATAAAACGCATTGGGTAGTACCTACCCTGCGAGTTTTAATAACAGTTTAAAACTTGTTTGGACACACACACACACACACATACCCACCCCGCCCCACCAAACATGTTTTGCTGACCGTTCATCGTTTATAATAGAAAAAGTTCATCGATCAAGCGCTTTTAAAACGAGCGCACACAACTTTTACACCGGCCCACTTCGTGACGGTGTCGGCGGCAGCTCCGACAACAACTACGAAAGTGCAAATGGACTCGCGCGAACGGGCGTGTGATGTGTCGCGTGGATGGTTACTCATGCGCTAAACCCGTATATTATACATAGGTCGTACACTTGTACACTTGTACGTCACGTGCACGGTATTAGGTCGTAAATATCTTTAATACGTATAAAAAGGCGGCCAAGGAAATCGGCCACTTGGGGACTGGTAAACTGGTTGAAGAGAAATGTCCATCGGACAAACGGGACGCTCCGGAAACGACCAAGTCCGAAAATTGTTCGTCCGGTACGTTTGTGCTTCACACACTCACTCGTTCTCTTTCTATGCTTTTTGAACTGTTTTCGAGTACCGAAACTGATAAGCTACGTGTGCGTGTAATGTCTTTAACACCATGATGCACGTTCCCGTTCCACCTGAACACAACATCCAACGCCACGGGCAAGCCAAGTCGTCACTACCGTTACTACGTCCCAACGATTGTTGCTCCAACAATTATGTTATTTTTTTCTTAAAGAATAATAGCAATAAAGTTTTGGCTCGTTGTTTTTACAAATTTCCCCCGAGAACGTGTTTTATAGTTGTTTTTATAATAAATTAATATAAATGAAAAATAAAATTTGTGCGAAAAACAAATGCCAACTCACGACACGCGACTATGAGTGGACAACCTTTTTTTTTAAAATAAAATTTTAATGCGAAAAAAATTTCTCCGGGCCAAATATAAAACAATTGACGTTTTTGCCTAAAATTTAAAAGTAAATAATTGTTTTTTTTCTTTAATATTTTCTCCGAATAACTTCAAATAATTTCAATATATGTGAATAATATATTATTTGTATTTATTGTAAATAATCAAATGAAGCTCATCAATAAAAAAATAAAAATAAATTTCCATTTAAGTATGGTTGTATAAATGAAAAACAAAATTAATATATATTTTAAAGTTTATAATGTACGCAATATTTCATGTCCTTGGCATATAATACATTTATGAATGTTATGATCATCAAAAATTATTTATCGCTATTTTTCGTTTTATATTTATTAACAATATTACAGTTCTAAAAATGTACTATGATTTAATGTTATTAAAATATAAATATACAACGAATTTGATTTATTTAAATTTTAAATTTATAATTTAAAACAGTCGGTATAATAATGTCAGAAATTGAGTATGGTAAAAAAAAAAAAAAATTATATATAATATCATTAAGCATATTTTTATAGTGTTTTTGTAGTAAATGAAAGATACAATTTAAAATATGTTTTTGTAAAAATATAATGTATGAGGTTAATAATGAGAACATCTTTAAGTTAAAAAAAAAAACTTTTATTGTAAATAAAAAAATTGGGAATAATAAACTCAAAACCATGATAGGTAAAGTTTGATAAAATCATGGAATCTTACTAATTAAATTACAAAACAGTTACCAAACAATTTACTTTGCTTTTGAAAATTTAACTATTCTCTATATTATTATGACTTGTCCAGTACTTTCTAACACCACGTCGCTTAAATTTCGTTTACGATTTACGTGAATATTAAGATATTAAGTTTAGTAAATCATTTCTCGAAACTCGAAAGTCTGTTCATACTAAATGTATCGAACGATAGCTTTCAAAATGTTCGTATCAACTTGAGACCAATTCTCTCGAGACCGTATAAATACCTTTACGACGTTTGAGCGACTTATGGGCATACTTGGTCGTTTACGGAGCTTTTTATTTATTTTTTTTTTTTTTTTACTATAGAGCGCTTAATCACACAGTCGTATACCGATCTCAAACTCTATACCAGGCGCAATGCTTTAATGGTCGTCTTGCAATAATTGCATTCGAAATCCATTTTAATCAGCATTTCATGGCTAAAACTGCTCTCTTCTTTATCCTAAATTTCAGTTTAAATGGTATGTCTATTGATTGTATTTAACTTTAATTTATATGAACCTGTCTCCATGCGTAGCCGTATCATCGAGTTAGTAGGATTCACAAGTTTCACAAGGAACTCTAAAAAAAAAAAAAAACCTAATACTAGATTCCATTAAAGTAAATTTTTACTTTATTCTACATTATTAATTTCTTAAGTGATTTATTCATCAATTTTCATTCATAATAAAATATCAGAATAATTTTAAAATAATATTCAACAAGATAAATGTGGAAACAGAATGTTAAATCTAAAATACACAACAAACAATACATATTAACTCTTTTGATATTATTCCGAATTATACAAAAATTGTATTTACAATGTTTATTTGACTAGAGATTTTTTTGTTTTTAAATACGTTTGGATAATTTAAGTATCTATAAAATAAACATTTAATTAGAATGAAAAAGAAAAATATATTATGAACGGTTTAGTTCTCTCTGGAAGTGTGTCAAATAAATGAATTAACCGAAAATGGTTTGCATAACCAAAAAAGTGTTTTATCTCGTTTCCTAGTTTCCCCTCGCACGCCATAGGTTTCTAATATCGGCCGGTCGGATGCGTTTTGAAGCTAAAAAGGTCTTATTTACAAAAGAAAACCTCTTTGCATATCAATTCATTGAAAATAGACTGAAAAAAAAAAAAAAAAACCCCGTAAAGAAGAAAATCGGTTAACCCGCGATTTATTTCAGAATTATTTAGTCCTCCTTTCCTTGTGGCTAAGTGCTGTAGTTGACTTGGTACCTAAATTTAGTGATTTATTGGAAATGAAGAATAGAGACACTTTCTACTCAAAAGAATATGTGACCCAAGAGAGATAGAGAGATAAACGACATCGTTTTATTACTCTTGATTTCACGGTTTTGTTTTGACCAGTTCAATGCAATAACCAATCTATATTCAGTAATTACAAGTGTAGGTAATGAAAAAATAATGAAATATATTATACTGTGATGACAGAAAAATATGAAATAAAAACTTAAAATAAACCATTTATGTATCATATATAATCATAAATAATTTAGGTCCAAGAAATTTTCAGTAAATTGCTAAAAAAAAAAAAAAAAAAAAAAAAACAAAGTATTATACAACTTAAATATTTTAACACGGTAATTTTTTTATAATGAATATTAAATTTATTTTATTGTATACTATTTTATTTTATTATTTGAAAATCATTAACTCCTTTTTATTAAATAATAGTAAATCGACATTAATTAATTATTATTATTATTTTTTTTTAATTCAGAAAAAATTACAAAAAAAACTGTTTGATGTATAAAAAAAACTTTTTACACTAGGTATTGTAATTTTAATTGTTTTTATAATTATATGATTATTTTTTTATTTTATTTCCTATAAAAGTAACATTAAAAATCATAATTAGATTTTTGAATTTCACTAGGTAATTTTATTATGAACAAAATAATTTTAATTTTTTTTTTTTTTTTTTTGATCGAAAATGGTATAGTAATACAAAGTAAAGATAATAATTATTAAGAAATACAGTACTGTGATTTCAGTTACATTCAGTTATGTGGAATGAAATTTAAATTATTCGGTATACTTGTAGTTATATCATCAACAATATTTCTTTATTGTTCATCGCATCGATACAATTTTAACATTAACTAGTTACTAAAGTACGTTCCTTAATAATAATAAAAAAAATAATAAATAAATAAAAAAAGTGCACACGGGTGTGAATATAAAAATGAAGCTCGACGACTTTCGGATCCATCACGACGCGTTTAATGAAAAACTGAAAATGTATCACACCAGTATAAAAAATTACCATAAGAAATAACTGTTGGGAAATAAATGGATTTCGAGGGACGTATGTGTATCATTCGTCATACTCATCGAATTACCCACGGAAAACCTTTCAGCCCCTAGGAACGTTGAATTTTCCGTATGCACACATCCACACGCACTCCAATATTTGTATGTATGGTATAAAATGCGTCCATGCGTGCATGTGTGTGCATATGCGTGCGAAAACGTATTTTTAGTTTCATCTTAAAGCCACCATATCGTTGTATTATTTTAGCGCAGCGGGAAAAACATACTATATGTACGCGTAATGTACATCTAAATCAACACGCTTTAAGCGTGCCTGGGAATTTATTTCAAAGCGGTCGCGTCTTGTAAGAAGTTGGCCTTTCTGTCTCCGGTACAGACGCGCTTCAACCCACTGAAATTAATTATATTGGTCGCCAAGTGCAGTTGCGATGGAACCGCTGACTAACACCCTTGGGTCCTATATCCAATCAATATAATTTATATATAATATATAAATATATATATATATATACATATAGATGTACGCACTCGATTTGAACCCAAACGTTGTGGTTGAGTAGACGAGGGACATGACCCACGGCGCCTTCTAATATTGTTGAAGCAGAAAATACTTCAAGACTGAAAAGTGAAAACTGTCAATAAAAAAATTATTCTCATCAGATCGCGTGCTACAATCCGTATACAATTTGGTAATTCTTAGTTGATACTAACGAATATTTCTTCTCATATTTTACCGTGACTATCAAACAACACGATTTTTTTTTTTTTTTAATGCTAAACTGTTCATATATCATTTCACATTGGATATCGATAAGCTTATACAAAATATAAAGACAATCAAT